TTGTTTCAAGTGCAAATTTCTGGGTCCATTCACAGAGATCCTGACCAATCAGGTAGGATGAAAAACCATCAAGTATAAATTACACAGGAAGTAAAGTGATTTTGCAGTGTGAGGTTACCAGAAGAAAGCTTAAGAAGCATTGCATGAGTGTACTTCACACTATCTGGTCTGTGCTCTGTCTCTATGTTTGTCTTTGTCCTTGTCTGTCTGTCTGTTTCTCTGACCACTGATAGCTAATCTCTATTCCTACCTTCAGCCCTAATCTGCCACTAATTTACTTTCTGCTGTGTCCCTGTACTAAATTTTTGAGTAAAAAGAGGAATGAATGTGGATTGCTTCATTACATATTAACATTCTTTATTAATGATAATGAGTAAAAGCTTATAGTTGGCATATGAATAGTAAACATAGGATCAAAATACAATATATTCAGAAAAAAAGAATTATTAAACACATAGGTAACTTTTAAGCTAGAGATGAGACAATAAACATTATTCCCTGAAGAACTGGTGCTGAGATTACATAGAAACCATGTGAAAAAAACCCCACCTCCCATTATACTTCAAAATAAATTCCAGATGGATGAAAGATTTAAATTTTTAAAAATCCATAAAGAAATAAAATAGAGTGAGTAAAAATGCATATACGTGGGGGTGAGCAAAGATTTTAAGAAGCCTGAAACCACAGCATGAACTCATAAACAGAGGATGAAGAGCTCAGAGGACATACAGAATGAAGGCTGTCCTGGCCCTGGTGCTACAGGAGCCTCAGCTCCACTGCCCATGCTCACCCTGTCCTGCTCTCTCCAGCCCAAGATGCCACAGAGACTCCAGGGTCCCCTGGATGTGCGCAGAGGTCCCTGGTTTGTCCCAACGGGATCACTCTGCTGAAAAGCCATCTTAAGGAGGCTGATGAGAGAGTGACAGCAGCAGTGTGAGGAATGGCTTCTGAACGTGCTCACACACAGAGTGCCCTCTCTCACATCGACACTTAGGATCAGTTCTTTCTTTCTTGGCCCATTCTCTGATTGCCTGTCTTCAGAGTTCCTCTTCTCTCCGCTTTGTGATGTGTGCCCTCAAATCAACCTGATTGTAGCACCACTTGTCTGCTCACATGTCTACAAACTGGATCCACCCTGGAGTCAAATATTAATATCCATCTTCACCTTGGTCAGGGTTTCTGGGTTGTTGATATTAGAAAATCACTCAGGTTGTCCCAGTGAAGATCTTCTCTTCTAGCAAGAGAACAGTGGAGTTAAAAACAAAACAAAACAAAAGGAGAAAACTGTCCTGCAGCAGCACAGCTAGGCTTTGTGGAAAGTGGATATGTTTTTTTTAACAGCTCTCTGCAGCTAAGTTGCTTCAGTCGTGTCCGACTCTGTGTGACCCCACAGACGGCTCTCTAGTGGCTCAGAAGTTATTTTAGTACTTGTCACTTTGGTGGTCTGTCTGTTTCTGGTAGTCTCTTATAGGATTACAAAGACAGCCTAGGGAAGGAGGTACACTCTAGCGTCAGGTAAGGAAACTAGACTGAAGGGAGCCATAGAATAGCACTGAAGAACAGAAATGTGGAAATCGGGCTGACTTATCACAAGGGCTTGAACTAAGATTCTGCCAGACTTACATGTACACACTGCTATATTTAAAATGGATAACCAATAAAGACCTATTGTATGGAACATGGAACTCTGTTCAATGTTATGTGCCAGCCTGGATGGGAGGGGTGTTTGGGGGAGAACGGTGGTGGTGTTGCTTTAGTCGCTAAGTCGTTTCCAACTCTTGCAACCCCATTGACTGGGGCCTGCCAGGCTCCTCTGCCTATGCAATATGCAAGAATACTGGAGTGGGTTGCCATTTCCTTCTCCAGGGAATCTTCCTGACCCAGGAATCGAACCTGAGTCTCCTGCTTTGCAGGCAAATTCTTTACCGACTGATCTATGAGGGAAGCCCGATGTATATATATGGCTAAGTTCATTTGCTTTTTACCTGAAACTATCACTACATTGTTAATTGTCTATACCCCAATACAAAATGTTTTTGGTGTTAAAAAAATAAAAATTAAAAAGCAAAACAAAAAAACAAGCAAAAGATTCTGCCAGACCTAAAGTAAGATTTCAGACAACATCTCTTCACAAAGAGATCCTAAATACAGTCAAAGCAAAAACAATATTACAAAGAATATCTTCATCATCAGCTTGCTTGGATGATGATGACCAGGAGGAGGAGGATGTAGAGTGCTTAATTTAGTGCTTGGCACATAATTGCCCGTGGTCTTAGCCATTGTTATTTATGATTTTTATTTTTACTTAACGGCAACCTCAAAAATATACTTACCTCAGCTGTTCAACCTTGCTTTTCTGTTTTCCTATTCCAACCTCTGACACTCTTAGGGGAGGTGAATATTCTCAGTATCAGAATCTCTCCAGCCCAGTCCTTAACACATCCACTCGCTGAAGCACTGATGATGCAAGTGAAACTGTCTGCCTCAGACTGGGACTTGAACTCATGTGCTGGGACTCAAACCCAGCCAAAACCCACGGTACCTGGTTTCAGGGCCTAATGAAGTTCAGATTCTTGATGTCTCATCCCAGAAAGAATTCAGTGAGAGACAAAGTGATAGGTAAGAAATGGATTTATGCAGATTCAGAGAGAAGCATACTCCACAGACACAGTGTGGGCCATCACAGAGGGCAAGTGAGGCTGTGAAATGTGGCATGATTAATTTTTATAGGCTGGGTAATTTCATATGCTAATGAGTAGGAGGATTATTCCAACTATTTTGGGGAAGGGGTGGAGATTTCCTGGATTCTGGCCACTGGCCCACTCCTTGGTCTTTTGACAGTGCTTTGGAACTGTCCTGGCACCTCTGGGTGTGCTAGTTAACTTGCTGGTTAAAGATCAAGGTCTAGTCTTGCCTGCCATCTTGGTCCCATTTGATTCTAATTGTTTTATATTGTGTCCTTGGTCTATGTCATTCTTTCAAAAGTTGTGCTCTGCCCCTTTCCCTCCTGTTACACAAGGACTCAATGAGGCAAGGAGGCCATGCGCAAAGAGAGGTCGAGAAGCTTGCTCCCTAGGATCATCGAAAAAGCAAGAGAGTTCCAGGAAAACATCTATTTCTGCTTTATTGACTATGCCAAAGCCTTCGACTGTGTGGATCACAATAAACTGTGGAAAATTCTGAAAGAGATGGGAATACCAGACCACCTGACCTGCCTCTTGAGAAACCTGTATGCAGATCAGGAAGCAATAGTTAGAACTGGACATGGAACAACAGACTGGTCCCAAACAGGAAAAGGAGTACATCAAGGCTGTATATTGTCACCCTGCTTATTTAACTTATATACAGAGGACATCATGAGAAATGCTGGGCTGGAAGAAGCACAAGCTGGAGTCAAGATTGCTGGAAGAAATATCAATAACCTCAGATAGGCAGATGACACCACCCTTATGGCAGAAAGTGAAGAGGAGCTAAAAAACCTCTTGATGAAGGTGAAAGAGGAGAGGAAAAATGTTGCCTTAAAGTTCAACATTCAGAAAACTAAGATCATGGCATCTGGTCCCATCACTTCATGGGAAATAGATGGGGAAACAGTGGAAGCAGTGTCAGGCTTTATTGTTTGGGGCTCCAAAATCACTGCAGATGGTGATTGCAGCCATGAAGTTAAAAGACGCTTACTCCTTGGAAGGAAAGTGATGACCAACCTAGATAGCATATTAAAAAGCAGAGACATAGTTTGCCAACAAAGGAGCATCTAGTCAAGGCTATGGTTTTTCCAGTAGTCATGTATGGATGTGAGAGTTGGACTGTGAAGAAAGCTGAGCACCGAAAAATTGATGCTTTTGAACTGTGGTGTTGGAGAAGACTCTTGAGAGTCCCTTGGACTGCAAGGAGATCCAACCAGACCATCCTAAAGGAGATCAGTCCTGGGTGTTCATTGGCAGGACTGATGCTGAAGCTGAAACTCCAATACTTTGGCCACCTCATGCGAAGAGTTGACTCATTGGAAAAGACCCTGATGCTGGAAGGGATTGGGGGCAGGAGGAGAAGGGGACGACAGAAGATGAGATGGCTGGATGGCATAACCAACTCGATGGACATGAGTTTGAGTAAACTCCAGGAGTTTGTGATGGACAGGGAGGCCTGGCGTGCTGCGATTCATGGATTGCAAAGAGTCGGATACGACTGAGTGACTGGACTGAACTGAGTGTACCTAAGGTACTTGCCTTTCCCTGGGAAGAAAGCGTTTTAGGAGAATTAATGCTTAACAGTCAGATTTGAATTGGAAATAAAAAATGATCAATAGACTCAGGAGTCCTCTCTGAACGATGACACTTTCCACTATAGTAAACTGTGCCCTGATGTCTAGCACTTGGGTCTGTTTTCTGGGCCACAGGTCACTACTGCTTAGGCTCCCTTAAAGAATGCTTTTCTGGCCGCCGGGCAGCCGGGGGGAATCCGTCCGCATCGCCGGCCGCGGGGCCCGGAGCGCCGGAGGCCGGGGCTGGGGNGAAATGAGCAAGAGGAGAAAGTCAGAAGATGAAGAATGGTCCTCAGAAAAGCAGGATGTTGGTGAGGGGAAGGGGGGATCATGTGCAGCTCTTTTCAGGGCAAGCTCTTAACTCCAGGAAGAGAACAGACGCATTTACTTCAGAAAGAGAGAGCACATGAGCCTCCTCTCTGCCTCTCGCCCCACTGCCCTCTCAACCTCTTGTCTGCATTTACCCTTCCCTCCTGGCCTTCATCTCTCTCTTGCTCTCTTCCTCAATTCTTCCTTGTTACCTTCTCTCTGTGTTTCTCTTCACCGTGGTCTCTCTCCAACCTTTTCTCCTTTTCTCTCCTTCTTCCTTCACTTTTCCCTCTTACCCAGTCTTCCAGACTAAGTATAGGTCCTCTAAGGTCACTTTGGAGTAAATATTTTCCTGGTATTGAAATAGAACTGAGATGTCAGTTTTAAAACTGTCCGAAGTCTTAGAGCTCAGACAGCAGTAGGTGGTAGAATGGGCCTGCACAGTAACAGAAGGTATAGCCTCACAGTGGACATAACTCCTTCTCTCTTGTGTTTCCTTCAGGGAAATATGGGGACTCTGATCAACATGCAGCCCCTGTTTCTGCTCTTCCTGCTCCTGAAACCACTTCAATTCGTGCTGATAACCAATGGTTCTTTAACAGATAAAGAATTTGAAGAGCATTTAGATGGTACAGGTCCTACCAGAGCACCTACCAAGGGATTATTCAAAGCCCATGTCATCATTGATTCTAAAAGACCATTACATGATCCAACATACTGTAGCGATGAAATGAAGATAAAAAATGCTCACCGTAGGCTTTATTGTGTTAAGGAACATTTCTTCCTTCAAGCATCACATGAGGACATTCATATGATCTGTCATAACACGTTTGTGTCCTGTGGTGAAGAAGTTGAGATGTGTTACATGAGTAAGAAAAAAATAGAAGCAGTGCATTGTGTTTTAACAAGTGGGATCAAGATGCTAGATTGTGAATATACTTCCTCTTATGAGAAGGGATGGGTCTTTATCACTTGTCGATGGCAAAATGATATCAGAGAAGTTATCCCTGAATCTGTGGTTGGTATGTTGACATCCACCGGGAAAGTTCCTTTCCCCCACCATTCTTAAAGTGTATTCTGAAAGATGTTAGAGCTAGAAGATAGAAACTTATCCTTACTGATCCTTACAAGAAAACTTGAGAAAGGAAATTTTGATCTCATTTGCTTTAGTCATCCACCACCTGCCCTTTTTCTCCTTACATCAGACAAAGGAAAGGTGGGCAGGGCTAAGATATAGTGCTCTGAGATGTGATTTCAAACAAGTCATACAGTTCAGCACATTTTGAATGTGTTGTGAGGATGAATGCCTGAAGGGAAAGGATGACCATCAGCAAGCCATTAGGAAATGGTTGCTGAGGTGTGCTCCAAAGTTGTATTCATGGAATGTCTGGTTCAGTAGAAATAATAAAGTGCATCATTGTAGCTAGGTGTCTCTGGTATGCTTATGTGGGGTTTCTGGGTTTGGACTTATCTTCCTTGTGACACAATTTGAATCAAAAAGAATTGGAGGGACTTCCACGGTGGTCCAGTGCCTATGACTCCAGGCTCCCAATGCAGGGGGCCAGGGTTCCATTCCTGGTTATGAAATGAGCTCCTAAATGCCAAAACTAAGAGTTTACATGTTGCAAATATAAACATAAAAATGCCCCAACTAAAAATTCAGCATGCCACAGGGAAGATCGAAGATCTTGTGAGCAGCAACTAAAACCTGGTGAAGCCAAATAAATAAGTTATTATTTTTTTAAAAAGAAGAAATATTGGGACTGCCTTGAGACATTATGAGCTTCATCTTCCTAGTGCTATATTTATAGAATTTCCATCTGTTTTTTTCTTTCCATGCAACACAATACTCATGGGATCTTGAAGATATAAATATAACAGGAGCCATCTTAGCATCCCCCGGTGGTTAAGCTGGTAAAGAATCTGACTGCAGTGTGCGAGACTTGGGTTCAATCCCTGGTTTGGGAAGATCCCCTGGAGAAGGTGATGGCTATCCACTCCAGTATTCTGGCCTGGAGAATTCCATTGACTGTATAGTCCATGTGGTCATAAAGAGTGGGGCATGACTGAGTGACTTTCACTTGCCTATCTTAGCATCAACATCTAAATATTCAGAATAGCAAACTCCTCAAAGTACTTTTCAATTGTCCAATGCTACTTCTGTGGATTCCCACATTTTTGGCTTTTTTTCTTTTCTTTGTTTTTTTTTTAAACTATTGGATTATAGTTGATTTACAATGTTATGTTAGATTCAGGTGTACAGAAAAGTGAATCTGTTACACTTCTACATAATATCCACTCCTTTTAAGATTCTTTCCCCATAAAGTTCATTAAATAGTATTGAGTAGAGTTCCCTGTGTTATACAGTAGGTCCTTATTAGTTATCTATTTTTTATGGTAATGTGTATATATCAATCCCAATTTTCCAAATTTATCCCTCCCACATTTTTTTTTTAGCTTAGTTATCACTGTTCACAAAACAATTCCAAACTTTTTGGCATAGTCACTTTCATTCACCATTTCTTTTCCTCATCTTCCTGTAGCTGTAGCTTCATCTGAGAAAATTCCACTTCCAAAAGAGTCTGGAGTTCCAGTGTGAGAAAAGAATGCTATCTGTTCAGTTTTGGTAACAATTTCTATCTCTCTTTGTAAAATTCCTTGTTGTTTGATGATTATTCCCCATAACTTACTGAAAATGGGATAAGGAGGATTGAAGAGGGGAATGGGAGCCGGAGTGCCTGTCACTCTTGCACACTTCATTTCAGTCCAATCCATATGTGTCCTCCACCCCCTTCCTTGTCTTCAGACTCAGAGCTAGGTCCTCACTTATCGATAAGACCCTGAGCCCAGGGCTGCCAGAACCCATTCAGTGACTAAGAAAATCAAGCCTTTAGATACCATTCTTCACATGGAAACTCCTGGCTTTTGATTGTAATTTCTGAGTGAATGAGGATTCCATCAAACTTTTGAGAATCGCCATGACTTCCCCTAAAAGCCAACCATCTAGACATCAGCTGACGAAGTTCTCCACATAGGCTACCTTGGGTATGTGCTCTGGACCATCTCATCTGGGCCATGTTCATCTCAAGTATATTGGAGTTCTACAACAAACAATAAATATATTTATGAGGGCATGGTTTAGTATAGTAACTAAGGCCTGAAATCATCATAATGTATTCATATCTCTTTTTCTCCAGATAAATGATCATATCCATACACATTCTATAATTAGAGCCATGGAACTAGAACAATGATTATTTACACAAGTTGTTCCACTTACCTAATATTGCATAAGAAATTCAGATCTGGCCACTACCCACTGGCTTTCCTAAAATAAGTCAAAACAGTAATTTCCAGGTTTATGCATATTAAGATTGCAAAAGATTATTGTCCCGTGCCCATTTATACTCTCTCCTTAATAAAACCAAATTAATAAGGTAAGCATTATTGATTCCTAAATTCCCATCACAACTTATTCTTTATGTAGGTGTCCCTTGATATAATGCACATTCATTTTACTTAACCATTGTAAAAATTATTTATCCTTTTGTGCTGGCTTATTTCCCTTAGAGTAATGTCTTCAAGTTTCACCCATACTGTAGTATATGTTAGAATTTTCTTGCTTTTGAAGGCTGAATAATATGTCATTAAATGTACATACCACGTGTTGTTTATTCCTCCATTCACTGGTGAACACGGCCACCATTTCTGAATAGTGCTATTGTGAATAGTGCTGCTTTGAACATAGATGTACAAACATCTGTTCTAGTTCTTGGTTTCAGTTCTTCTGTGTATATACCAGGAAGTGAAATTTTTAATTTATTAGCTGTTTGAAATGTGAGAATCAAACAACACTATTTTCAATATTCAGATAAATTATAACAGGGTTAGAAACTGTGATGATGCCAATCAGGGCACACACACACACAGAAAGAAACTGAACTTTCTGCTTTACTAGGACAAATTCTGATAATTTGAGTTTTCTAATTATGTAAAAGAGCTGGAAGACACCTAAAATAAGAACTGAGGGAAGTTTTTCTGCACCCTCGAGAGTTGGAATTTTGATGCAGACACTTGAATTTAGAAAAAAAAAAATTTCACACTTTTCTTGCACCTGGGTTTGAAAAGCATTTTCAAATTGCACATATTTTTGAATTGATATTTATTAGAAGTTGCTGGTTTTTGAAAAACTTGTGGTGTCTTTTGTTATTAGGAATTATTATTATGTGATTTGTTTCAGGTAAGGTTTTCTTCGTAGTGATGTGTATGAGTATGTAATTCAGTCTCTTTGGGTAAGCAAGTCTTTCAATCATTTACTTTATGTCTGTGCTCCTCTTCTGTGTAATAAAGACATTCCTGGAAGTTTTCTGGTAGTCAAGTAGTTAGGATTCCATGTTTTCACTGCTATGTACCAAACTCAATCCTTGGTTGGGAAACTGAGATCCTGACTGGACATGGCCAAAGAAAGAATCTCTGAGCTTGAGCATATCTCAATAGAAGCATTTAAAACTGAAAAGCAAAAAGAAAAAAAACTGAAAGAGGAACAATAGTTACCAGGGACTTGGGGAAAAAGGAGGATGTGAAATTATTGTTTAATCAGTACAGAGCTTCAGTATGGGATGATCAAAATATTTGAGATGAATAGTGGTTACAGTTACACAATAATGTGAATGTCCTCAATGCCACTATACTGTATAGTTACAGACTCTTAAAATGTTAAGTTTTATTATGTATATTTTACCACAATAAAAATAATGGGAAAAATTTACTATAAAAGACAAGGCAGGGACTTCCCTGGTGGTCCGGTGGTTAAAAATCTGCCTGCCAATGCAGGGCACAAAGATTTGATCTCTGGTTGGATTTAAAAAACAAAGATCATGGCATCCAGTCCCATCACTTGGTGGGAAATAGATGGGGAAACAGTGGAAACAATGACAGACTTTATTTTCTTGGGCTCCAAAATCACTGCAGATGGTGACTGCAGCCGTGAAATTAAAAGATGCTTGCTCCTTGAAAGAAAAGCTATGACCAATCTAGACAGCATATTAAAAAGCACAGACATTACTTTGCCGACGAAGGTCTGTATAGTNTCACTTTTTCTATCGGGAACTAAGATCCTACATGCTACAGAGCAACTAAGGCCACATGCCACAACTGCCAAGCTGACACTCTAGAGCCCATGAGCCACCCAGTGCCCTAGAGTCTGTACTGTGCATCAAGAGAAGCTAATGCAATGAGAAGTCTGTGCACAGCAACTAGAATAGTTTGCTTGCCACAACTAGAGAAAGTTCACAGGTAACAATGAAGAACCAGCACAGCCAAAAGTAAACATTTAAAAATACATATATATTAAAAAAGAAAAAAAAAGGGATCTTTTTTTTTTTTAAAAGGAAGATATGTCCTCTGTCTTAATGATGTAATGGGTAAAAGCAAAACTCTTGGTATGAATCTAGCCTCTCTTGGCACTCTAGGACTGTTAGGTAGCCAGTCAGATGAGTAGGTTCCACCCCATCCTGGACAGTTTGTCTTTCTCTCTCCCACCTGGACACTGGTGCTTGGAACATGCCTAGAGATCCTCCCTCTTGTGGTCAAGGACCATGACAAGATTTCCAGCCACATCAGGACTAAGCAAGATAAAACCACCAGCACAAGTTGGTGCAAATGGACCAAGACTTAAAAGATGATTCAACGTAATCTGAGATTCATTATGTCATATCTGTAGTAAATTAGCATTGCGGTTTTTGCCTCCCGCTCAACCCCCTTGGGTTTTGCTTGAGTGCTTATGGGCGAGGACTTGCACACGAGGGGAAAATTATATAACCTAAAGATGTCAAAAAATTTGTCAATGCAGGACACAAGGAGGAATCACCACTCTAAAAAACTCAACCCTACCCTATTGCAAGCCTGCTTCTGGTTTCCAAACAACCTGCTCTCATCCTTTCTGCAGAGTGTGCTTTCCCTCTGCTTAATGAAACTCTTGCTACTTAAAACTGCTGGATACCTCTAGACTGAATTCTTTTCCTTTGAGAAGGGCAGAAACTGAGGAAACCCCCGTTTTGCCAGGGACAG